CCTATTAAGGGCATACGATACAGTTACATGGGAGGTAATTACGTTGCTAACGTAAAATGTTATTTTGGCGACGTCAAACAGTGACATCGGGAAAAGATGTATTTTTCGACTGATTTTTATTATTCAAACTGATTTAACTTGAAAACGAGTTCATGGACCCCTCTTTTTTAAAATGACATTCGGTTTGATTACGTATGAAGATTATTTGTACCAATTTTCATGAAAAAGTCAATAATGTAATTTTTTTAAATTTGATAAATATACAGCAAAAAATTACGTTTTTTTCTACATTCATGAACATTTGATGAATTTGAGTTATTTCTAAACGAAAGATTTCATAAATTTATAGGATACTTATATAAAACAGAAATTACAAATAATTTAACAAAAAACAGCTTGTGTTTATCTTTTAAAACAAAAAAGTTATGCATTTCTGTCGGAAGGAAAAATACGTCCACAAATCCGAATTTTGAGCAAATATCTAAAATTTCGAACTCATTTTACTCAAAAAGTAGCACATGAAGGTATATATTTTTTATTACATATTTGATTTAATCAGGTAAAAAATAGCCTATTTGCAAATTTTCATCAAATTTTCATTATGGGATCAAAACTGTATCGTATGCCCTTAAACTTATGAAGTGTCGAGCATGTTTTGTGGCAGGAGCACACCTATATAAATGAAGTCCATAAAGCGTGAACACACACAAGCGTAACGTATTGAATAAGATACGATGGGAACAGAGGGTATGTTACTCATGAGTTTGGGATTTACGATTGGAAAGTTGAAATCACGTTTGTTATTGATTCTTGTTTGAATCGACAATCTGTATCAATTTTGAGGAAAAGATCAAGATATGAAGCAGACTTTCTTGTTTTAGTAGTATTCTAAAGGGAGCTACCATTTGATTTTTATGTGGGGGGAGGGGCTAGGATGAAAAAAATTGTCCTGTATTTTTTTTAGTTGTAATCTCTGACCTGCCTTTTTATTTTTCACTCTATTCGGTCCTGCATTTTTTTTGTTAGTTTATCCTGACTTTTTACATCAATTGTCATCCTGTCTTTTTTTTGCCAAGTTGCTCATCCTGCCTCTTTTTTTTTTTACTCAAAACTCCTGTCCTGCCTTTTTTCAAATTTCATCCTAGCCCATATAAAAATCAAATGATAGCTCCCTTAATGATCTCAAGTTTACTGGGATATATGAGATGTAAACACGCACTGAAATGTGTGTTATTGAGTGACTGGACATCGTCAATACATGCATCTTAATGTGATTTCAAAGAACTTTACAAGATGCTTTTTTCTTTTGTCTTTTGGAAGGATTTGTCTGTATGAGTTCTGCTTCATATGACTACAAAACAAGTCGACCAGTAGAGTTTACAATTAGTACTAGTACCTGTTTGAATACCAAGCTACCAAAACTCAACAGATATGTTGTCGATAAAAAAAAAAGTCAAGCATCTTAACGATATCATAACATAAAACAACGAGTTTGTATCTACGATTCTCATTTTTGTAGAAAAGCTCTGTTTAATGAGACATGTAGTCGATTTTCAATTGAGCATATAAAACATTAGTGTAGAGCGTAGAAAAATCATTTTTTTTATACTACTGCAATTTTGCAAAGATTGTGATTAAAGAGTATTTCTTAAGAACTTTTAAGATTCTTATCTGATTGAAACCAATTGTTGACTATATAACCTATCACAATATTTCTGAAAGCCATCTTTTACTTTAAAAAAATATGGTAGTAAGAATTATAGAAATATGATTATTCGAACAATTGGACGACCAGGCTATATATCGTTCTTTATAAAGTTTTTTTGTGAAGATTTTTGTTATTTAGTATAAAGACTGGACATTTTCATCGTCATTTTTATGTTCTAAGATACCAAAGAGAGAAGAAAGGATTTGTGATGTTTTAAAATCTTTTGTTGGATTCCAAGAATTGCTGTAAATTCCAAGGTCTTTAGTTAGACATTTCAATTAATGATTTTTGCATTTGTAAACTGGAACAACACATAATTTGACGAGAAGAATAGATAAACCCCGAGCTTCTCGAATTGGTACGGAAACCCGTGAGTTTATGGTACATCTTTGTTTTTATTGCGTCTCTGAATGCATGATCGAACAGCTGTTTTACGTTCATACATTATGTTCAGTTGAGGTTCACCTGGCTCGCTTTTATCAAGTTTTCTAACACATTCCTCAACTGCAGCTACCGGTAACCTAAAATTCTTCCTAATTATTTAACAATCCTTGTCAAGAAAAAAGTGTTATTAAGAAAAACACATATGTTGCAAAAAGAAGTGCATTTTTTATGAATCTAGTTTTACTTACAATTATAGACAAATGAAGATAACTCAATTCAAAATATTCTGATTACCAAGTGTTTTATCTCATTTTGAAAAAGGACTGACACTGATGAATGTCATTTGTTATGGCGAAATATCTGTCAGTACGACTTCATTTCATCTTGTTCTTAATTTTATTTTATCTTTTATCAATATCGTTGCACAGATAAGACTAATATATATATATATATATATATTTTAGTGCAGGCGGTATTGCCACGATGTCTGCGTTGCAGGGGTTCGAACCCCGCTTGAGGATAGAACAAAAATTTGCAAACGCAAATTTGCTGATCTAACAGTATTGGGATAAATTTCAGATGAAGTATATACACATTATGGTGTTAGCTCTGTATAACCACAGGTTATCTGAGGGGGAACGTCTGTCGTAAAGTTGTCACATATTAAGAAGTATATCATAAAATCAAAATTTGATATGACGGTATGGTAAGTAAAAGTATCATCATTTACAACAGACACAAATAAAAACAGCTGATCTGCAAGTTATACCATCTACTTGCCACTCTACATCATGTACTGTGTTACAACCCTAGATAAAGCCGACGAGGAAAGGAATTACTCGACTAGCTAAAGCTTTATTCCATAGCCTAGTTGGTCGAGTGGTCTAGGGCGCTGGGCACAGTGCAGGTGGTGTTTCCACGATATCTCAGATGCAGGGGTTCGAATCCCGCTAAGGGAAGAACAAAATTTTGCTAACGAAAATTCGCAGATCTAACATTGTTGGGCTATATTTGAGACGAAGTATATATTTTAAATTATGAAATATAATATGTTAAAATATAATTTTATGTCTATTTAATATGAATACATGTATAAATATTTTTAATAAGTATCATTCAAAATGAATGAATAATAACATTTTTCGGTTAAAACACTATACATATACATCCTTTGGTGTCTCTTCGAAGAATTTCGAACACACCTCGATAGCCCCATATTTGAATACACAAATATTTTTCTTTAAACTAAGTGAAACATGAACTTAAGTGACACACACTTGTCAATCAATGAAAGCTTGAGTAGTTAAAACATGATGTCCAAAGAAGGATAAAAAATTTACCTAAATAAACTAAATATGTGAGTTTAACAGGTTCACATATCTGAATACCAATATTGCGATATAAACCAAAACAGAACAACAATGGCCGCCAAAACAACCCGATCTGAAATAAACACAGACGTAGGGAGCCTTGTTACGTTTTATAATGTAACAGATACATATAAAAACAATCAGAAATCTTCAAACGGAAAGGTAATCCCCTTCGAATATATTGATAAGTCATTCTACGAACAAAAAGGAAATTGTGCCAGCTTTATAACATCAAATACAAGAATTCATGCCTGGATATCCGCTCTCGGAGATCTTATATATGACAAGGAAGGTACTGGTTTTGATGTGGTATGGATTGATAAGAAATCTGAAAGTGAAAAAAATTATACAACCTGAATTTGCTGTGTCCAATAAACATGACAGTAGCTTAGACTCTGATAATGACTTTCTATACAAAGTCATCATATATCTTACAACTGAAAATTTTTTAATCCAAGGTAAAGATTGGGAGTCATTTTGCGATACAAAATTTGAAGTCTGAAAAAATAAGAAATCATGTGGTTCTGATGGGTTAACAAATGAAATGTTGAAAATATCTTGTATTATAAACGTCAACATGTATGTAAAATTATTTAACTTAATTCTTTTTACTGGTATATATCCTTTTAAATGGAGAGAAAATTACATTAAACCAGTATTAAAAGGAGGGTGTTTTAATAACCCCCAAACTACAGAGGTATAGCACTTTCTAGCTGCTTAGGAAAATTTTTCTCAAGAGTTTTATATAAATTTAACCAATTTAGGTAATTTTCTAGTAAAGAGCTTTGATAAAAGAGCAAAACTATTGTCTTGTCTTAATAATAAACATAAGTAATTGATTTATGCACTGATTTGTATGCATTCCAATATATATATATATACATATATAGTACATTACCATATTTTTATTTTTTATGTGTATTCTCCCCAGCTGCAACATATGGAAAAAAGGGTTTACCATTATAAAGATTATATATATATAAATATTATATATTCTAACAATTTTAATTTGATTTGATATGTATTCTGTCATTCATTGGATTTTCTTTCTTTGTTTGTTATAATCTTTATGCCTCTCGGGGCCCAAAATTGGATAATAAAATTTATCTTATCTATCTTATCTTATCGTATAATCGTTTAGAAAAGTATTCTGAAACTAATAATATTATTTGTCGTGAACAGATTGGATTCAAAAAAGGATGCAGAACTAGTGATCACATATTAACTTTAAAAAAACTATTATTGATAAAGCTTTCAAATCAAACAAAAGAATATATATGCATGTTTTTTTTTATTTTAAAAAAGCTTTTGACACTATAAATAGAGAGGCCCTGTTACACAAACTTGCTGAATATAACATAAATGGACCATTCTTCAATATTCTAAAAGATATGTACAAAGAAGTTTTATTTGCAGTTAAAGTCACTGAAGGCATTACTAAGATGTTTCCTTCCACAGTTGGAGTAAAACAAGGCTGCATTCTGAGCCCTACCTTATTTTCTTTTTATATAAATGATTTAACCTCCATGTTTGATAACTCATGTGATTCTGTAACATTACATAACATAAAATTGTCTAGTCTTGTATATGCTGATGACCTAGTATTAATATCAGAATCTTCAGAAGGTTTACAAAATTGTCTAAACAAGTTAAACACTTATTGTGAAAAATGGAACTTGACTGTCAATCTTGACAAGACGAAAACAATGATATTTAATAAAAGTGTTAAAAAACTTACTAAAGACAAGTTTATATTGAAAAATGAAGTAATCGAATGCTGCACAGAATATAAATATTTAGGTATACTATTCAAGCCATCATGAATTTTTAATAATGCTGTAAATCTCCTCTGTAAAAAAGCTTCAAAGGCATTGTTTTGTATTAAAAAAATCCTTTACTCAGATAAGATGGATGTTTTTTCCCATATGAAACTTTTTAATTCGTGTGTTAGCCCAATATTACAGTATTGTAGTGAGATATGGTCACTAAATATTGTGAAGAACAGCAAAAATCTTGAATCTCAATACTTATCAATGGAATCAGTAAAACACCACATCGAATTTGCGAAAAGTCTTCTTAATGTTAATTCAAAGGCAGTAAATACAGCTGTATTTAATATATATTTATTTTATAATGTTTATAAAGTTAACAAGCAGTTAAATGATGGATTTGCTTCAAAAATTAAAATGCTACTATCAAAATTGAATTTCACTCATGTTTGGGAAAATCAATGTACCTTTTCTAAAAAATGATTACTTTTAGCCCTCGTGAAGAAGCGCAATGAAAATTACATTATATTTTGGAAAAATTGTCTCTTTATTGATGATAATTCAATAAATGGAAATAAACTAAGAACCTACAGAAAATTTAAAGTAAAGTATGAACTAGAAAAGTACCTTTTATTGAATTTAGATAAAAATGTTACAAAAAATTATGCCAAAATAAGAATAAGTAATAGTATGCTGGCTGTTGAACGCGGTAGATACAACAAATAGAATATGTCCTTTATGCCATAAAGAGGTGGAAGATGAATACCATTTTATCATAACATGTACAGAAATTAATAAAACTAGGATCAAAATGTTTAATGAAATTTCTAGAACTGTCCCCCGTTTTAATTCAACGAGTAAAGAAAACAAATTTGATTTTATATTTTCTTGTGAAGAATGTGATATTTTACTTATCATTGTTAACAATATAAGTGAAATGTATAATGAAAGAAACAATTATGAACTGTGTGTGATTGGTGGCTTAACTTATAATGTTATATATAATCATAATATTTGAATTGATAATTTTATAGAGGAGGCATGCTGTCAAAAATAGTATTATACTTAATATTAATAATCTTTTTTTTCAATGCTACATGTTTGTATTGTTTAATGTCTGTCATTTTGCCATTAATATGCCTGTCTGTCTGTCTGTTTGTTTTGTTTTGGTTTTGTATTGGTTTGTTTATTTAGTAACAATCCTATTGTTTGGATTTTAAACTAATAAAATTCTTATCTTATCTTATACATTTATGAATCATATTAACCAACTTCGATTCTGTTGAATATGATATTCACTACACATGTCTTCATACAATTTAGAATTATTTTTCCGATATTGCTTCAACATTGATTGCGAGTCAGAAACTCCAAGTCTTTTGTATAAAGTATTACATTCCTTGTCAACCAGTTTAGACACAATTTGTGGATATCTAGTTATCCACTTTGAAGATATGCTCAAAGAATTTCCTTTTTGCACACCAACTATTCCGTCATCGTTTTTATGTCCATTGGTATGCCTTTGCAGCCAAGTGGTTACACTATCTGTATAGTTCAGATTCAAGTGATTGTATATTATTTTTGTCACTGTAATTGGATCTGCAGTCAGACATTCATATTTCAAAACAAATGTCCCTTGATTTGTTTGATTATTTCCTTTACTGCTTATTAAATTTTTATTCATTCTGTCACACAATCCGTAAGCGCTGGTTTTCATATTCTTAACATCGGCATTATCATATTGAAAGAAGATATTTCGTGAATTTAAAATCGCCCTTGGATCCCTTACTAGATGTACAATCTTGAGACGAGGAATTCCAGTAACAATATCAAATAAAATATCCAATGACATCCGAATGGTTTTGATAAGGATGGTGTTTGATCTATTGCATATATCTTCCAAGTAACGAATACATTTTCTTTTCTTTACCAGATCTCTGTCTCCAAAATTTGCGAAGGTTCCAACTTTGGGTTTGTAACATTTTTTTAATCTTGACCTTCCAGTAAGGCTTTCAAATTTCCAAAACGAAGACAGAACTTCAGCTGGAAGAAGAGACATTTTGCAGCTAAAAATATTTTTGAATATTTCAAAAGTTGTGTTTCGGCTTTCAAGTTGATTTAGTTTGTATCTGAAATGATAAATAAAAATAACAGACTTAAAAGTGTGTGCTATAATACCACCAAAGTTAACCTGGTACAGCAGGCTATAAAAATCTGCACTTAGGCCCTGAAGAAAAAAATTATGACAGAAAAAAAAACATGCAAAAACTTAAACATTTTTATTCAAATATTCAAATGTACGATTCAGAAAACATGTTAGATTAGTCAATATATTTTTATTCTTGCCGCCGTTAAAAACTGGCCCTGACATAAAACGCCAGTAATCAAAAGGTATTCAAATTTACATGAAAAAGTAATGAACAAATACTTCTAAATGACATGATTATTATCTGGTTAAGGTAGTATGGATATCCTCCACAATCTTCACTTATAAATAGCAAAAATAATCGGTCTACATCCATAAAGAAATATGCAAATTTTGAGACAGTAATGCAGTTAATATGTAAAAGTTTCCAATGTATTGAAGAAAAGTATACGATTTATCTTATTATTAAGACTGTTTTTGTGCCTTAGCCACACAAGGGGAAATAAGTCATAAAATTCACTTTTATAAAGGCATGTCTAGAAAATTTACATATTTTGTATTGTAATAAGTAAACGAGTATGGTGACCCCTATTTTTATTTTTTATCTTTGAAAATAGGCTTATATAATTTACATTGTACATTCTGTCAAGTATTAACACATTGTATTTAATTTAGACCCCCAGTAACTTGACAAAGTATAACGCTTTTTTTATCGCTCATCTGGTATTTGATTTTTTGTTGTCTTCTGTTCCTTTATTATCTTTACTATTTTTAATTCCATGTTTAATGCGTGTTTTAGATACATTTGATATGTATTGTTCCTTTATTTTCGTTTGTACTTTGTTTATAAGTTTGCATGAATGTTTTTTGTTTTTGTTTTCGTTTTTTTTGTATATGTTCGATTTGTATTTTTGCTGTGTGATAGGTTTTTTGTTTTTTTGCCGCACCATTCTTTTTAGCTCTTAGAAATTAAAAAGTTGAGTTGGGTAGCATTCAAGCAAACTAATTATTTACATTGAACCAATTAAAAGGAGGAAACGATAAAAATTAAAGCGGGACAAATACACTAAAAGTAATTGAATAAAATGAATAGTAGATATCTTGCTTTGAAAACAATGAAGATAAATTAAGAAATATACATATCTTTTTTTTATAAAGGCGTTTAAATAGAACGAGCCGTTTTTGTTATTTCAAATGTTAATCCTCACTTTATGTTTAAGTTGTATGGCTGATAAATTTAATTCCAATTATTGTTCCGAACACGTTTGTATTACTCCCAGCAATTTTAACTGTATTCATGTTGCAGGATGCGTGACAAACGGATACTTTTTCGGTGTCGGCGATCAGCGTGAAAAGTTTGTATGAAGCTTTATATTTCCGAAGGAGGAAGAGCTGAATAATCAATATTTTGATTACCAATGGACGTGATCTTAAATTTCCGTCTTGCACATGTCTTTTGTCCTTGGCCTTAGTTGTTATGGTATAATACCACGATAAACACCAATTCGAGCAATTATTTTGGTTGTTAAGTAAAATTAGAGGCTCTAATGAGCATGTGTCGTTCGGCTAAGTCTATGTGCATCCTAAATAATGGACACTCTCCAACATTGTAGACTGGAATATATTTCATGACTAAAATCAACGCAAGGTCCGTCAGATAGGTTTCACCTGAAATTGACCTCAATGTATGGTTCAATGATCAATAGTTTTCGTGGTAAGGTCAAAAGCTTTCGTGATTATGTCAGTTTCTCGTATACTCCAAGTTTTTCGTCAACTATATCTGACGTTTGGAATGACTGAAAGATAAACACATAGAATAAAGAAGATGGGTTATGATTTCTTATGAGAAAACTATGCACCAGAGACCAAAAGGTGTGTGTATAAGCTACTCTAAGTCAACGTTAACGCACGGTCGTAACTTGACAATGAGCAAAACATATACCGTATAGTAAATATTGCTTTATATTATGTTGTTATATCATTCTAATATGTTAGGATGTTGAAAATTTGGATTAACATTTAAAATGATAAAAACGACTCATTCTATTATAAACGTCAGTATCAAAACAATGATAGTATTATTACAATTAACAGTGTATCCAAATAACATTGATCATTGAACCATTTGTTTTTACATAGAATAAAGCAATGATAATCATATTTTCAACTTTCTTGTTTTAGGTCATGTCATGAAATTTTTTAATTTAATCGGAATCACACTGGTTCCAACAACAAAAACAAACACCGAACATGATATTTTAAAAATACGTGACTTTTTTGTTGGGTTCGGTGATTACATAATTCAACAAACAGTCGGTATTCCAATGGGTAAAAAGGTGCAACCCTACTGATCGAATTGTTTTGTTTTAATTCAAAGAAGCAAAATTCATACAGAACCTTGAAGACAAAAAAGAAAAAGCATTTTGCTAACTTCTTCAAATTCACCTCCAGATATATATATATATATATATACAAGTCTAAATTGAAAACAACGTTCAAACCTATGATTGCGTTGGATAAAAACCGCAATTTTTATACGTGTGCATGCAAAACAAATTTCTTGTTAGAGGGGTCTAAATACAGCACAAACAACATTTTCCAAAAGACCAAAAAAGTGAAAAAGTATATTTTAACAAAACGCATTTGACTAACAGATCGAACAACAAATGTTCTTAAATCCTGCTGACTGCCATTGGCGATTGCCAAATAAACGGATCACAAGGTGTAATAAATGGATCTTAACTATAACTTTAATACCAAACAGAAAACAATAAACTTGCAGCGAAGATGGTATACCGCAAACAAAGGTGCAAAGATTTTTTGTACACCATATCCGGATTTCGACAATTAATGTCTCTTCAGTGATGTTAGAAATCGAAACGGATATTAGAAGTCCACATAATTAACCTCAATTTAGGATAGACTCTTGAATTTTGAGGAGTCAAAATAGGATGTCTTTGAACAGATCTTATAAACCCGAAGGCAAATAAAATACAAGCCCAAACGAAAAAATATAAACAAGTCTAAATTAAAAACAACGTTCAAACCTATGATTTCGTTGGATAAAAACCACAATTTTTATACGTGTGCATGCAAAACAAATTTCTTGTTAGAGTGGTCTAAATACAGCACAAACAACATTTTCCAAAAGACCAAAAAAAAATATTTTTACAAAACGCATTTGACTAACAGATCGAACAACAAATGTTCTTAAGTCCTGCTGACTGCCATTGGCGATTGTCAAATAAACAGATCACAAGGTGTAATAAATTGATCTTAACTATAAATTTGATCAAACAGAAAACAATAAGCTTGCGGCGAAGGTGGTATACCGCAAACAAAGGTGCACAGATGTTTTTTACACCATATCCGGATTTCGACAATTAATGTCTCTTCAGTGATGTTAGAAATCGAAACGGTTATTGGAAGGCCACATAATTTACCTCCATTTAGGATAGACTCTTGAATTTTGAGGAGTCAAAATAGGATGAACGGATCATATAAACCCGAAGGCAAATATAATACAAGCCCAAACGAAAAAATATAAACAAGTCTAAATTGAAAACAACGTTCAAACCTATGATCGCGTTGGATAAAAACCGCAATTTTTATACGTGTGCATGCAAAACAAATTTCTTGTTTGAGTGGTCTAAATACAGCACAAACAACATTTTCCAAAAGACCAAAAAAAGTGAAAAAGTATATTTTAACAAAACGCATTTGACTAACAGGTCGAACAACAAATGTTTTTAAATCCTGCTGACTGCCATTGGCGATTGCCAAATAAACGGATCACAAGGTGTAATAAATGGATCTTAACTATAAATTTAATATCAAACAGAAAACAATAAACTGGCGGCGAAGATGGTATACCGCAAACAAAGGTGCAAAGATTTTTTGTACACCATATCCGGATTTCGACAATTAATGTCTCTTCAGTGATGTTAGAAATCGAAATGGTTATTGGAAGGCCACATAATTTACTATTGATGATGTCCTGTCGCTCATAACCAACATTTCAGTGAGTGCTTGCATCTCATATATCCCAGTGAACTTGAAATTTAAGATGTTACCGAAACTAGAATGTCTGCTTCCTATCTTGATCTTTTCCTCAGTATTGACACATATGGCCGACTTCAAACTTGAATTTATGACAAACTTAAAAATTTCCTTTCACGGCAGTAACATATCCCTTTATCCATCGTTAATGCATGTTCACACTATACGGAGTTCATTTATAGGGATAGCTCCTGACACAAAAAACTGTTCCAACGGATTTGTGAGGGAAAATTACTAAAATTGTCACTACATCAAGTTAAAAGTCATCATCACGACTTGATTGACTGATGCGATGTGTCTGTGTGTCAATTCAATACCGACATGTTTTCGCGGTCTTATATCTTAAGATACCACTTGTGAGTAAATTGTATTCTGTTCTTGATTATGACATTTTGACGTTGTGTAGATTCGCATGAGACGCTTACCCTGTCGACACATCCGATATCACTTTTTTTGGAGTTTATGTGATTTCTCTGTATTTTGATTTTTACATTGATTTGTGATCATTTGTATCTTCTTAATCGATTTATGAGATTTGAACATTGGGACATTTATTGGTTGCTGATGCAGCGAATTCTATTAATTTTTAAAGAGGTGACAGATTTTCGTATCATATATATGTTCCTAGAGGAACGCGAGCCACGTTCTCGTATGAGTTGCAACACGTTGGTCTACAGTACTCTAGAGTATGGTTGTTGTTGTAGAATAGGTGAACTATCAGTTACTCATAGCACTACAGTACAATAACCATCAGCAACGCTTTGTTCTACGGGTACGCGAATCAACAGCTTCGTGTTGCTCTAGACAATGTGCCAACAACTATATTGTGACCCTTCGGGTTATCTAAAAAGAGATGGCATTTAACCATACATTGAATACGGTGTACGTATTCTTCCATCTCTAAAAAATATACTAGTAGTTTGAGAATATTACAAAAAGACATGTTGAATGATATTTACCTGCATTCTCCTTCTCTCGAGCACACACTATCTTTTGTTCTATAATTTCTAAAGTATATACCATAGAAAGGTTCGAAAATGAAAAACACATTTCTTCCTTGTTGAATTAATCCTGATGTAAAGGTTGATCCACTGCGCATGTACGATGCAATTACAATTTTGTTCTTGACTCCTTCTATAAAAAAATAAAACAATGTTTTAAAAAGATCAATATTTCATCTTCAGTATATAATTGTTTTCGGTTGAATTTATATTTATGCGCACAAAAGATCCATAAGTATTTATACCTACCACAATCGACTGTTTTAGTTCAAAAGTTTTCAAATATCTCGAAGCTCCATACTATAAATTAAGTATAAACACCTATGTGACTAGCTATAAGATTTCCAGGCTTCTAGAGGTACCTGGTCTTAAATGGGCTTATTGCATATTTATCCAGTACATACTGAGAGAAAACATCCGTCAAGTTATTATAACAGATTTGTTGAAACAACAGTGTAATGGGTCTTTTTGTATATCTACATAAGGAGTATTCGATTCAAGTTTTTAATTAACGAACGCATTTTTTTGAGAGGATACATTTACATTTCATTGGCGCTGATTAATTTCTCATGACCTATTTGAACACAGTTTCAAATGTACTAAAAACAGCTATTTGCTTTTTTTAGAAAATGTAATTCAAATTTAGACGTATCACCGGGTTTGTACTTACATGAGCAACACGACGGGTGCCACCTGTGGAGAAGGATCTGCCTACCCTTCCGGAGCACTTGATATCACCCCCACTTTTTGTTGGGGTTCGTGTTGCTCAAACTTTGGTTTTTCTATATTGTTTTGTGTACTGTTGTTTGTCTGTTTGTCTTTTTATTTTTTTAGCCATGGCGTTGTCAGTTTATTTTCGACTTATGAGTTTGAATGTCCCTTTGGTATCCATCGCCTCTCTTTTACACTTGCAATCAAATTAGTATAAAAATTGTCTGTAGTAGGCTTTTGTTTTCTTTTACAGTTTAATAACGCAAGTCCCTGCCAAACATAGCATGCAAATTATGCGGTTTATATAAACCTTAATTTTCAAAATGACGTTGCATTTATTATAACGATTTGAATTTTCGTGTGGCCATTTAGTGCGCTACTTCCTAATTTCATTTGCTCACGTCTAAAGCCAAGCTTTGGTACCTTATTTACTTACACAAGTAATTTTCAATATAAGATACTTCAAAAGAGATTTAATCAAATTCAAATACAATAACCCTGAAAACCGTATTTATTGGTTGTTCCTAGTATCAATGGTGAGATTGTATAGACAACATTAATGTAGTACATGTATAGCATAGAAAGAAATCCTAAAAATCATCCAGACTTTCGATTCAGTATATTTACAAAATGTGACGCAATGTTCATAGTTAAGGTAGCATCGGGTGCCCTCCGCCATCTTGGATTGTTAAATAGCAGGAAACGATCGGTGTAGATCTTTAATGAAATGTGCAAATTTGGGAGAAGAATGTCATTCAACTGTTAGACTTTTCATCTGAATGACGCAAATTATGTGTTTTATTATATTTTTTTACTGTTTTTTTACAAATACAGAACTACAGAATATGTTTTGCTTGATTCAATTTTTTCAACTTTGTCATATAAGGGGAGATAACTCAGATAATGTAACTTTTATACCGGAATGTGTTATAAAATTACCAGTACCTTATTTGGTTTTGTAGCAAGAAAAAACGAGTCCCGTGACCCTGTTTTGTCTTTTTGTATGTTGAAAGCCCATTATAGTAGCTCTCTTCTTATATTGTATCTTAATATCTATGGTTTAATTTTCTTTCTTACGCACTAAAATGTGTTTTCCAAGAATAATCTGTACATAATCTGACAATTTTGCACATCCTATAGCTTGAAAAACAAGCTCTGTGACCCATACTTTTTATTATATATTTGAGAAAGCCATGATATAAACTACATTTTCTATGGATTTTAATTTAGACCTACCATTTATCTTAACGGAGTTTTTCTATCAATGAAAATATACCTCCATAAGCCTGGAAATGTCATGGCGGGTCACATATATAAGATGCCAAAATCCTAAACTATGCACCAACATTAAACTTTTAAAGCCCACAGAACATCTAGAAACAGATGTAAATAATTCTAATATACAAATTTGGCCATTTTTATCACCTCTAATAAAGAGTTCTATTTCTTTTGTTTAATTTTAACTGGAAAACAGCCTAAATAAGTCAACTTTATTTTTATTTGTCTTTGTATATTTTTAACCTTTACTGTTTAGTCTATTTTTGATAATATATTTTTGGCTTTGCTCGGTATTTACACATCCCACGATTGTGTTATTGTGCTATGTTCATTTTTATAATCTTGTGTTTCATTTTTGCTTAGTATGTACTTTGTCTATAGAGTGTTTATATGCCATTTTGTTTTTCTTTGTTGAAATAGTTATTTGTTTTTTTTTGGAATTAAGATTATACCGCAATGATGACTGCTGTACCCAATTTTTGACATTTTTACCGATTGTGTCTGTTTGTTTTGCTCACACATTGTTGTCAATATAATGGAATTATATGCGACTTTCATACAAGTGAGAGGTTTAGCTAGCTATAAAACCAGGTTTAATCCCCCATTTTATACACAAGGAAATGCCTGTACCAAGTCCGGAATATGACAGTTGTTTTCCATTCGTGTGATGTGTTTGGGCTTTTAATTTTGACATTTGATAATGGACTTTCCGTTTTGAATTTTCGTTGGAGTATTATTGTTATTTTACTTTTTATTTGGTAAGTGGACTAATTGCAAAATGTTAGTTTATATGTCCGTCTGGCAAGGTTCATTTAACCTTGACTTCATGTTTATGGCCTATGATTATACCTATCATGTGATACACGAAAGGAAAATTTTAACTTAAAACCTGGCATGCAATTCAGCGTGTCCACTCTTGTTTTGATATATTAATCTGTCACATGTCTTAAAGTAACATTTTAATGATTTTTTTTGTTGCTTTTGACACGTTTATATTAAATGAATTGCGAGTCATAGCATTCAGTTACTTAGCTTTATTTTTTGGCTATTTTGTCTTGCATTAAATTAAGAGTTGTTAATATTTCTTAATATGATAATATAATAGTTCGATGAGTACTTTCTATTATTTCTTTATTATTGATGAATTATATTATATTTCTCTGATTTTCTACCCCAGGAATATATTATCTTAGCTGTATTTGGCAAAACCATTAAGTCCCCATAACGTATATATAGCCCCGATTAGGCTAACTAAAATTAATTAGTAGATTTTCATCCAGATTTTTGAAAAAAATGGGGCGGGTGGGAGGATTTGATTTTTTTAATTTTATTTTTAATGACTTAACTAAAAGAAAGCTCTTTAACTTCTTACTTTATTTGGTTTTTTTTCTAATTTGCTTTATTTGAGCGTTACTGATGAGTTTTTTGTAGACGAAAAGTGAGTCTGGCGTAAACATTTTCAATCCTGGTATATATGATGAGTTTATTCCAAAACTTAATACACGGTTAGAGATTATTATTTGAAAACAAAGTTCATCGGAAAAAAGTAGTGAGCAGGTTGTGTGAGCGAGTTTTTTTTACAGTGCTATAGCTATAACGTTTCCACTTTCAGGATGAAAGACGTTCATATAAGCCCCATAACTTATACATAGCTCCGATTATCTTAACTTAAGGAAAAACTTCGATTTGTACGTACGTCTGATTTTTTGTCCGTACGTCTAGAAAGGTTGTAAATAAATTTAAGACTATTAAAGATATTGCGCCATCAACACCCAATTTCTAAACAACACTTGTTTATCTTAAACACCTTTGAATTTACCTTCCCAAAAAACTAAATAAATGAAAAAAAAAATCAAAAAACAACAAAACAATAAAAATAAAAAAACAAAAACAAAAACAAACACACCAAAAACAAAACATACCTTTATTTTGAAACTTTTGATGTATCATGATAGGTTGAATTGTATTATTGTTCTCTTTAACCACTGTTCCACGAACAATTTTCGATTTTAAATAATCTTCATATTTATTATAGAAGTTTCCTACAAACAAAGAAAACAGCATCAATTGTCTATATTAATGCAATATACGTTTAATGAATGGTACAATTGTTTGATTTGTTCAAATTGAGAGAGAGAGAGAGAGAGAGAGAGAGAGAGAGAGAGAGAGAGAGAAAATCAAAAAAGAGCTGAGCCATGAGCGCATGATACGCCCGTTGCTTAAACAAGAATAAAATTCCATAACTCCTCCATGTCATATCAGAAATTTATAGAAAACTAAAGAGAGGTTATTTTTATAGATATAAACAATTCACCTAAGTTTCATGAAAATTGCTCAAAAAATTTTTGAGTTATTGTCGGAAAACTGGAAAATCCCCCTTTTTTAATGAATAAAACCCCATAACTCGGAAACGTAAAATCCAAAATTTATAAAAATCGAAAAGGAGCTCACGTCGATAGATATACACAATTCACCAAAGTTTCATGCAATATGGTTAAAGCGTTTTTGAGTTATTGTCCGACATGTTGACGACAGACGAACGGACGGTATACCATAATACGTCCCGTAAACGGGCGTATAAAAATGTTGTTGCCAAACAAATAGCGATCTTCACAGTGGACAGCACCACAGTGTAAAAAAACAAACCAATATGTGTTTTTGTATGTTAGAAATTATGGAAATACCAAATATAGCAATACTATAATGTAACAAGAAGTAATACAAATATATACAAGAACACAGATTTCATGAATACTGACATGTGAATTAAAAACACTTTTCAATGTGAATCAGATTTTAAATAGTGCTATCAAGTTCAGTGTTTTTCTACTTAAATTATCATTAACTATTTTCATCATATAGTGTATGATATTAACGAGAATGGGACACAATGATACTGGTATATATTAATATGAATGAATGGTTATTTCTATTATGAAATAACAAAAATCCTTGCTGTTCATTGTTTTATTATGTTAATTCCTAATACAAAAGAGATCAGCAACACCTAGAATTACCTCCATTTTTCATTATTACATATAACAAAATTAGTTTGGAGTACACTTAAACGTTAAGTTTAAACTGAATGTAAGTTGATTAGCTTTTACAACACTTAATCTGTTATTTTATTCAACATATGCCAACATTTTTTCAAACAATTTTATACCTCAAGGATGTACTTAGGTCAGGTTTAGGAATTTTTGTCAGATGTTCGGACTCCTTGGTTTTTTCCCTACCATACAGGGTGAAATATTTTGCCCAATAACACACATTTTTTACATATAAAACTTCAATAGCTCATAAAAGGTCTTTTACCAAAATTTAAGCAGATTCTAGATTTCTTTTCATTCGATTTGAGACTCAAGTAATACAAATGCAAATATAAGGTAAAAGTCCGAGTCAGCCCTTTCCCGCCATTTTTTTAAAATTAAATATCTCGAAAAGGAGTTCCATAACCTATCAATATTTTAGCTTATTTTGCTCAACTAATGATCTTCTAACTTATAGTATCATTTTAAAATCTAGATTTTTTTAATTTCACATAAGTACATCCTTAATTTCAAAATGTTGGCATAGGTTGAATGAACCATTATAACAACATAATGATATAAAAGTAAAGTTGTGCTCAATGTGCAAATAATATTTCCAGGATATTTCAGACCTAAAACTGTGTACATCAAAAGATGTATAAATAAATTAAGCGCTTTATTTTTATATTATAAGAAAAAAGTATAACAAAAATGCCGAACTCCAAGATAAATTCAAAAAAGGGAAAGTAAATAAAAACTGACAAAACCAAGCGTTATCAACCAATGGAACGAGTGAAAAACAACTGTCATATTCCTGACTTAGTACATGCATTTTCCGAAAATTGACAGAAAAGATAACACAAAACCACAAAAGGTAATCATGTAGCTAATGACAACTCGTTTTACTTTCTTAGACATTTTTTTTTCATGACAGGAAAACCTTCACAATAAAGTACCAATTAACCAGTACCTTTCTAAAAAGAAATGCAAGCTAAAAGATTTGGCAATCCTTATTATGGACAGATGTCCATATAGTTGTACGTGTAATTTCATTCACTATTTCTGTGAATATACGTAACTAACTAGGTCGCTACATCTGTTGACAGTATGAATTCAATGAAGAAAACACTATAATATTTTATATTAGGTTTATGACGTCTCGTCATAGAGAAAATTGAATTTATAGAATACACGAAATGGTCTTTCAGTACTAATAGTTTTTTAATAATAATAATTTAATACGCCAGACGGCGTTTCGTCTACATAAGACTCATCAGTGACGCTCAGATCAAAATAGTTATAAAGCCAAACAAGTCTAAAGTTGAAGAGCATTGAGGACCCAAAATTCCAAAAAGTTGTGCGAAATACGGCTAAGGTAATATATTTCGGGGATAAAAAAAATCCATAGTTTTTCGAAAAATTCAAAGTTTTGTAACAGGAAATTTTCAAAATGACCATATAATTGATATTCATGTCAACACCGAAGTTGCTGACTACTAGGCTGGTGAAACCCTCGGGGACGAAACGTCCACCAGCAGTGGCATCGACCCAGTGGTGTAAGTAGTTATCAAAGATACCAGGATTATAATTTAATACGCCAGACGCGCGTTTCGTCTCCATAAGACTCACCAGTGACGCTCAGATCAAAGTAGTTATAAAGCCAAACAAGTACAAAGTTGAAGAGCATTGAGGACCCAATATTCCAAAAAGTTGTGCCAAATACGGCTAAGGTAATCTATTCCGGGGATAAGAAAATCCTTAGTTTTTCGAAAAATTCAAAGTTTTGTAACAGGAAATTTATCAAAATGGCCATATAATTGATATTCATGTCAACACCGAAGTGCTGACTACTGGGCTGGTGATACCCTCGGGGACGAAACGTCCACCAGCAGTGGCATCGACCCAGTGGTGTAAGTAGTTATCAAAGGTACCACGATTATAATTTAATACGCCAGACGCGCGTTTCGTCTACATAAGACTCATCAGTGACGCTCAGATCAAAATAGTTCTACTAAAATATCGTTAGGTAATGAGATGAAAGAATGTTAGCAATGGGAAAAAATATCTCTTTTTGTCATACATTTCAAAAATAATTTCTCTAATTGGATAATATTGACTACTAGTAATAAGCTATATTTCTTAAGGCATCATAGATACTTGATGAACTCAAGATCAAAAACCTTGACATAAGAGTTCCTCATAGATAATTCATACCAAAATATTTGATAAACGGGACGATTTTTCCTTTTCTCTTGTTGCATTTTCTAAAGTACAGCAACAACCTCATTAAAGAATTAAGGACGCACGAAGATTACTGAAAGCTAGTTCAAAGCAAATAACAACTAATGAATACACCATTTTCTACAGACTAAAGTATCAGTACACATCCAACAAATTTCAACGGATTAAGTGTAAAGACTTCATAAACTCCTAAACAGTCTGGAAAACGCATGACCTTATGCAATGCCAAAATATAAGTAAACAGTATCGACAGGATGAATGGTCATGAGTTCTCATAATGGTACATGTATAGCTATGTTTTTCGTTGTGTTGCTGTCTCATAGACGAGGGTTTGGATAGGGTTTACAGAATAGAGAATAATGCGCAAAAAGTCTAGAATGATGGGCAATAAATATAAAGAATATAGAAAAATATAAGAAAAATAAAAGAAGAATGTGTCTGAGGACATGAATGCAACCGCCCAAGCTTTCAAACAAAAATGTGACGGACTGACGGACGGTCAAGGGTAATAATTAATGCCCCCGTCACCTCCGGCGGGCGCATACAAATAAGGAATAGAGAACAGTCGGGTGCTAAAATATAAAGAATAGAAAAAAATTGACAAAGAAATAAAGAATATAGAAATGAACGACCTCCCCCCAACCGCCATCCAGACCTCATGGACGTATACCCCTATATCTCCTTTTACTTTATAGTAAGTATTTCATCATTGCATCAGATATTAATGAAAATCTAAAACCATGTGTGACAACTTTGTGTTTAAAGTGGTAGAGGTCTACATGCAAAATGTAGAAAAAAGAAAATGTGAACACTGAGAAAATTAAAAATTCAAATGGTGTAACAATTAAAGCCTCAATATGACAAACAGTAGGGGGTAGGTTTTTTTTCCTAAAAAAATATTCTGATCCCCAATTTGATGGAAAAAAAAACATTGTGGTCAAGCAGATGACAAAAAAAAAAATATTCTGAATCCAGATTTTCCCCATACCTTATAGTGTTAAATTCTGGAAAAAAAATAATTTGATTGATAGCGTCGAAAAACTAAAAAAAAATGTTTGAAGTTAAATGGTTGCTCCCTTATCATAACTCGGATCCTGTGGATTGCAGTATTTATTAACTCATGGATGCGATATTAATCCATTCTCGATAGTTAACATTTTCAAATAACAAATGACTGGTTAGCTGCTATTTTAATAATTGAAAATGAAGCTATTCCTGCCAGGTGAAAAAATTAAATAAATGGGGCATAAAACAAAAAACTATAGTTACCTCCGAAAACTATAATTCCAACAAAAAACATGATTGGAAACACTTTAAATCGAAGCAATCTAGTAATTAGATGTCTAACCATGTCGCATGAAGTACAATCTCGTTCCGTTGTAACGGGATTTGGAATATTAATCATTCCTCTGTTGCGTTTACCATCACAGTAATTGACTCGATTCCAACCTGTAAAAGAAATGTTTTTCTAAAATTTTCATTCAACTTATTTTAGGAATGACTGTAATATTTTTTTTGTCTATGAAGAAATAACCTCAAAAATGTGGTGCACACTTTCAAGTTAAAAAAACCCACATATTCCTTATAATATAATTCTAAATTCCATTTTTAAGGAGTAAATTAAGAAAAAACGTTGGTGACGTTACGGTCACATGACAAAATTATGTTGACAAAAAAATTGCAGCCAATCAAAAGACTTGTTACATCCAAAATTAACTCATTGCCCTTGTTAACAAAGGAAGACTTGACTAATATAGATGTTTACCTTGTCGATGCACACGGTCTCAGTCAGTCTGGAGTTTTAGCGATCTCGTATGTTTTTGTTAATCTCGTTTGTATACTCTAAATTGGTTCACGAGATATGAACATCGTTAAACTGCTGTTGCCTTGAAATTGAATTATGTTATAGAAATCATTTCTAACATCAACAGTCCTAATTAAGACTGTTGGATTTCTAGTCACATGCTTGTATATTTCTAGAAAATAGCAATCCGTGTCAGAATCAAATGTTTTACGTGCTCAATTTTTCATATTAAAATTTAAATACACAAATGATCGATAGAAAGTGCACTTACATGTGTACGTAAACTTTTGTGAGACGCCGTTATCTTCAACTTATACATAACAGATAACTTTTACATTTAAATATTGAAGATAAGACAAATCGGGAAAAAATTAAACCTGCTTTTCCTAGGCTTTGTGAAATTCCACAGTCAGTTTCAGAAGCTAGGAGGGTCTGGATGTAGTTTACAGAATACTGAATAATGGACTAGACATGCAGAAAAAAGGGCAAAAAAGAAAAAAAAAGAATAGAGAACAATAGGCCCAGAAAAATAAAGAATGGAGAAGAATGCGTCGATAAGATATAAAGAATAGAGATGAATGGTCTAAAAAAAGAAGAAAGAATAGAGAAAAATGGCTTAAAAATAAAAAAAAAAATATGAAGAAATGAAGAAAATCCCCCCCATACAGACAATAAGCTAGTGAAACCCAGCAGAATTTGAAAATTAAAGAGGAGAAATGCTATGCATTAATTTTATAAATTTAGTCTATACACATTTCATGTAAAGAATAATAAATGTGTTTGTCCTCTGCTTTTACACACGTTTAGGTGCATTATTTACTTATTATTTACATGATTTTAAAAAGAAAGAGGTAAAAGAGTATCCATTCAATAAAAGTAAAATAACAAAAATACCGAACTCCAAGGAAAATTCAAAACAGAAAGTCCCTTATCAAATGGCAAAATCAAAAGCTCAA